TTGAATGCTGATGAAGGTCTTTGATGCTTGAGCTATTGTTCTGAAAGACAGGAATTTGCCGGGCATGGTGGTCCTGTAGTCCCAACACTTGGGAGGCAGGCGGATCTCTGTGAGTTCAAGGCCAGCCTGGTGTATACATAGTGAGTTCCAGGACAGCTGGGGCTACAGGGAGACTCTGTTTCAAGAAGACCCACAAAAAAAAAAAAAAAAAAAAAGAAAGAAAAAAAGAAGAATTTAATAAAAATGGAGAGAATGACGGCTATAAGATGAGGTTGCTTTCAGGGAGGGATGACTGGCTACCTGGTAAGGAACTAGGCAAAGCCAGAGAAAACTAACTGCCCTTTCTGGAACTTGGATCTGAGGAGAAGAAGATGCCCAATGTAGAAACTTAAGGATGAAGGGGATATGGTAGACTGATCGTAAAGCTGACCCCAATTCTTTATTTCTCTCCCAATCTACACCTACACTCTGCGATGTGACTTCGCATCTTCCCCGTCAGGCAGTAGACTGTGTTTTCCTGTCCCTGGGTTGGACTTATAACTTGCTTTTGCAAACTGAATGAGGCAGAAGGCAGAAATATTGTGTCAGCTCAAGAGGCTTTGAGTAACTGTGTTCTCTCTCTCTCTCTCTCTCTCTCCTCTCTCTCTCTCTCTCTCCTTCCTCCCTTTCCTCTCTCCTTCTCACTCCCTTCCCCTCCTCCCCTCCCCTGCCTTGCCACCAGGAGAACCAATCTGAGCTAACATACTATATAATCAGGCATCAGTGGCCCAGTATCCCATGTCACTGTAATGACTAATCTGCTAATCATCAGGCACATGAGACCATCCTTGACCAGCCTACGTAGCTGCCCATGTGCTCACCCAGCTGACTGTATCTTCAGTATTTCAGGCCACACTGAGGTCATCTGAGCCTAGACAATCTCTATAGATTGATGTTATTCCTTACACTTTTTGAGCAGTCAATAAATGACCAATTGTTCTCTCCTGAGCCAGCCCCATGGACACTAGGGACAAGAGATTGTTGGAAGGTTTTTACTATTTTCCATCAGTGTGGAGAGACGTGAACATATCTGCACAGGTGGGGAAAAGATAGATTTAAGATTTAAGAAAAAGGGAGGGGTGTTAACAAAAGTTCAAGTGGAAGTGACCCTAGGAAAAGGCAGAGAGCTTCTTCTGTTTCCAGACAAGACAGGAAGCTGGGATGGGAGCAGGAAGTCTTTCACTGAATTCATTATATCATTGGGCTTCTGCCCTGCACTGTGAATGAGGTGGTAGTTTTTCTAGCTCTATCTGTGGACACACTCACATTTTAACATCCAACCAAAAATTAACACCCCAAACTCATGCATCTCCACATCTGTCAGAGCTAAAAGGGGCACCTGAGACAGATTTCCTTTTGTTTCCACTGGCGTGTCAAATGGCTCAGTGACAGCAAAGGAATAATCTTCAGTTTGTGTATAATGAGGTCTGAAATTTCCGTCTCCACACATTGATCATGAATCTTATTTCACCAGATAAACTGACAGCAGTCTTGGATACTTAAACAAAAATTTGAAAAAAACTCGGTAAACCACCCACATCTGTGCCCTCCTTACCACCTTTTCCTGTCACTTTTACCTTTCCATTATCTTGTCTATATGAAACCATTTCCAGTTTTGTCTGGATTCCTCAATAGCCAACTCATTCCTCAGTCCTAGACATAGACTCCTCTACCCTTAGAACTACCATCTAGGAAAAAGACATTTGATATGGAAGACAAAAAACAACAACAACAAAAAGATAACAATGGAATCCAAAATTGAATCAGACTTAGTCTGTTTCACCAGTGAAATTATCTAGGCTAAGTCATTTCATCTCGGTTTCCTCATCTGAAAATATTATTCCTGGGACTAGAGAGATGGCCCAGCTGTTAAAAATATTAGCTGCTTTTTCAGAGGACCTAGGTTTGATTTCCAGAATCCACGTGGTGACTAACAATAGTCTGTAACCCAAGTTCCAGGAGAATCTAATGTTCTCTTCTGGTCTCTGGGGGCATTGAATACATGGGTACACTTACATGCAGGCACAACACTCGTACACATAAAATAAAAATAAATAAAAATTTTAAAAATCATTCCTCCAAAAATCATTTAGTGAGTATTTACCATGTGCCAGGTACTGTTCAAGGTGTTCGGGATACCCAGGTGAACAAACTGAAGAGCCCTGTTTCCTGGAAGCTGACACTGTAGAAGAGGAAGGAGGATCATGAGTTTGAAGCCAGTCTGGGATACATAGTGAGGCTCTGTCTTAAGATAGAAAAAAAGTGCTACGCACAGTACCTTTTATAGAATGAGAATGTAGTTGCAATTTTCAGTCTTGTTGATGTATTACTTAAAAGTACATACACCTTCCGGTAATTCCGGAAGGCTCAGAATCTTAAGGAGAAGATTGATTTGTAGATTTCTTGAAGCAGATAAATTGAACAGGACCTTGAAGAAGGTAAAGAATTTTCCTGAAGGAGGAAAGAACTGGGAAACATGTAAAAATAGTTTATTTTTATTTTATGTGTATGAGTGTTTTTCCTGCATGTATGTACATACACCACCTATGTGTGATGCCTCCAGAGGTCAGAAAAAGGTGTTGGGTCTCTTGAAACTGGAGTTATGGATGGCTGTTGGCAGCCATGTATGTGTTGGGAACTGAATCTGGAACCTCTACATGAGCACCCAGTGCTCCTAACTGCTGAACCATCTCTTTCCATCCCCCAGAAAGCATTTTGAAGAAGAGATTCTTGCAAAGTAAAGCCTAAAGGTAGGAATGAGTAGCCAATTAGTGCAGTCCTCCCTGTGGTAACTGTTGAATGCTGTTAATACAGGACTTTTCCTCAGGAAACCATTTCTATTTATGCCACATAGAGAGGGCAACAAGAAACCAAGGAAGACAATCCATCCAAGTCCAGCTTGGTGAACAGACGAGTTTATTGGAGTTACTCAGAGGACCATGGGTGAGGGGATACTCAGAGGACCATGGGTGAGGCGATACTCAGAGGACCATGGGGGCGGCGATACTCAGAGGACCATGGGGGCGGCGATACTCAGAGGACCATGGGGGCGGCGATACTCAGAGGACCATGGGGGCGGCGATACTCAGAGGACCATGGGGGCGGCGATACTCAGAGGACCATGGGGGCGGCGATACTCAGAGGACCATGGGGGCGGCGATACTCAGAGGACCATGGGGGCGGCGATACTCAGAGGACCATGGGGGCGGCGATACTCAGAGGACCATGGGGGCGGCGATACTCAGAGGACCATGGGGGCGGCGATACTCAGAGGACCATGGGGGCGGCGATACTCAGAGGACCATGGGGGCGGCGATACTCAGAGGACCATGGGGGCGGCGATACTCAGAGGACCATGGGGGCGGCGATACTCAGAGGACCATGGGGGCGGCGATACTCAGAGGACCATGGGGGCGGCGATACTCAGAGGACCATGGGGGCGGCGATACTCAGAGGACCATGGGGGCGGCGATACTCAGAGGACCATGGGGGCGGCGATACTCAGAGGACCATGGGGGCGGCGATACTCAGAGGACCATGGGGGCGGCGATACTCAGAGGACCATGAGTGAGGGGATACTCAGAGGGCCATGGGTAAGGGGATACTCAGAGGACCATGAGTGAGGCGATACTCAGAGGACCATGGGTGAAGGGATACTCAGAGGACCATGGGTGAGGGGATACTCAGAGGACCACGGGTGAGGGGTTACTCAGAGGACCACGGATGAGGGGATACTCAGAGGACCATAGGTGAGGGGTTACTCAGAGGACCACAGGTGAGAGGCTACTCACTCAGAGGACCATGGGTGAGGCGATACTCAGAGGACCATGGATAAGGGGATACTCAGAGGACCATGGGTGAGGGGATACTCCCTCAGAGGACCACGGGTGAGGGGATACTCACTCAGAGGACCATGGGTGAGGGGATACTCACTCAGAGGACCATGGGTGAGGGGATACTCACTCAGAGGACCACGGATGAGGGGATACTCAGAGGACCATGGGTAAGGGGATACTCAGAGGACCATGGGTGAGGGGATACTCAGAGAACCACGGGTGAGGGGATACTCAGAGGACCATGGGTGAGGCGATACTCACTCAGAGGACCATGGGTGAAGGGATACTCAGAGGACCATGGGTGAGGGGATACTCAATCAGAGGACCGTGGGTGAAGGGATACTCAGAGGACCATGGGTGAGGGGATACTCACTCAGAGGACCACGGGTGAGGGGATACTCACTCAGAGGACCACGGGTGAGGGGATACTCACTCAGAGGACCACGGGTGAGGGGATACTCACTCAGAGGACCACGGGTGAGGGGATACTCACTCAGAGGACCACGGGTGAGGGGATACTCACTCAGAGGACCATGGGTGAGGGGTTACTCAGAGGACCATGGGTGAGGGGTTACTCAGAGGACCATGGGTGAGGGGATACTCAGAGGACCATGGGTAACTCAAAGGCAGTTGTATCACCAGAGAGGACCACCCCAGCAGGGGTGATGACTCACAAAAACTGCCAAACTTGCAGGAAGTCACTTCACCAGAGTCTGTTGGTTATGTAATCTCAGGGAGGGCCCTGGTGAGTCTTGCCTTTTGTGAGCTTCCTGAATTCCCTAAATCTCCTTCCTCCCTCTAGGAGGGAATGTGTCAATTAAGAGCAAACAGCTACACAGGACTGTGGGGGCAACTAACCTAGGTGATAGATTAGGCGCAAGTGTGTCAGATGCCTACTGTGGAAAAGAGAGGATTGGCGTCAGTGAGGCCTTTGGCAAAATCTCTTAACCCCAAACATCAGTGAGGTCAGTGAGGCCTTGGAAAAATTTCTCATCCCTAAACCATAAATTTTGAAAGATTGCCAGTTGAGGTTGATTCCATGAGTCCTGCCGACAGAATTATTCTGGTTCATCAGTCCATATTGAGCTAGAGAAACCTCTGACATCCCCTTCTCTCTGTCCACAGGTCAGCTGTCTCCAATCCAAGGTTGTCACTCACCAGGAGTGGGTAATCCCAAGGACAGCAGGACCTGCTTCATCACTTGCATTTTGGAGTAAGAAACCCTTCAGGTGACTAAATAGTAACCATGACCCACCATTAAACACCCAAGAAAAGAGCACTGATGAGTTCATGCACAAGGAACTGGGAATACTCGACAGTGTCAGGGATACAGACCTTGCTGAGTGAGGCACAGTGACATCTCCCTTCCTGGGAGATGCCTGGATGTGGATGTGGTATCAGTTCAGGCAGTCAATGTGTTAACTTAACAAAATGCAATGCTATCTGGACAAGAGAATGAGATAGACCCAGGTTTGAATCATATTCTCCCATGTGACTTTGGCCACACTTAAAAGTTTCTAAGCCTCAGTTTTCTTGTATAAAAAATGGAGTTAATACCACATAGGGGCTTTTAAGGGGATCAAATGCAATAGAATTAAAAAAGCACAGGCTTCTGAACCTTCCTTTAAGGAAACAGAGCAAGATGTGGGGCCAGTAAAGAGATGCAATCAAAAATGTTCTCAAAATTATTACTGGTCCTAGGCACTCAGCTGTGAGAACAAGCATTTTTCTTTTTTAACTTAGAACTTTTTTGATTGGTTTATTTATTGTTTTGCCTCCATGTATGTAGATGTGTCACATGCATCCAATGCCCAGAGATGTCAGAAGAGGGTGTTGGATTCCCTGGAACTGGATTGTTGTTAATTACCATGTGAGTGCTGGGAACCAAACTTGGGTCCTTTGGAAGAGTAGCCAGTGCTCTTAACCACTGTGCCATCTCTCTAGTCCCAAATTTTTTAACTTAAAACTATTTACTTATTTTGTGCGACGTAGGCTACACATGCATGCCATGGTGCATATGAGGAGGTCAGAGGACAGCTTTTAGGACTCGGTTCTCTCCTTCTATGATATGGGTTCTGGGGATTAAACTCAGGTCATCAAGCTTAGTAGCAGGTACCTTTACTTACTTAGCCATTTTCTTGGCCCAAAGCATCTTTCTCTAGCTCTAAGAAGGAGGGAAGAAGGGAGGGAGGGAAGGAGGGAGGGAGGGAGGGAAGGAGAGAGAGAGAGAGAGAGAGAGAGAGAGAGAGAGAGAGAAATGGAGAAAGGCAGGAAGCTAGAGTCTGGCTCTTAAACAAGCAAATTCACTCTAAATAACTTTCAGACAATGTTGCTCTCCTTTCTCAAATACTGGAGCCCTAGGCACTATGCCAAAGCAGCCAGCAGCCTGGCAGATATTTTCAGCTGATTCTGAGACCCAACGACAGGCCATTTACACCATATGCCACTGACACATTAATCTAGGCAAGGATGCTGGGCACCTAGGGAAATCCATGCTGAAATGCCATTTAGTCAGGGCACATCAACTCCAGTGGCAGAAGTTCATCAAAGCAAACAGCAAGGGCAGCCACAAAGATCCAAGTGGAAAGGAAGAGTGAACAGGAGGTGCAATGTCCAAAGCTTGAAAGAATTTCTGAGTTGCAGACACTTCATTGTGCTTCTATTGAAGCCACAGATGAGCAAGAGGTCAAAGCTGGATATGAGCAGTCTAGACAAGTAAGTGTCTGCCGTGTGTGTGTGTGTGTGTGTGTGTGTGTGTGTGTGTGTGTGTAGAGGCTATAAGTCAATGTCAGGTGTCTTCTTCAATCACTCACTCTCCAACCTATTTGTTGAAGCAGGGTCTCTCACTGAACCTTGAGCTTACTGATTTGGGTAGACAGGCTGCCAGCAAACCCCAAGGGCTCTCTCCTGTCTCCATTCCCTAATTCTGGGATTACAGGTGCAGGCTGCTGTGCTGGGCTTTAATGCTGTGCTCATGCTTGCCCAGAAAGCACTTTACCGACTGAGCCATCTCCCCAGCCCCAGTGCCTGCTACATGCATTTTTCTACATGGCCACCAAGCCTATGACCCTTGTATCTGTGGAAAGCAATGGGCAGTGCTCTAGCCCAGAAGAATAACCTCTTTTATCTCTGCAGCTCCACTGTAAAAAGCCCAAGAAAGTGGCTGCCAGGTGACTCTTGTAAATGCCCAGCATCAGACTTTTCAAAATGTAATTTGGTGGGAATACTCTGAGCCTTTGGTCTCCGTCTCTCCTTTGTCAAGCCCTGTTTCTTGCTTACTTGGAGCAGTAATGAGCTTCTCCACCCCAGCGTGAGGACAGGCTCACAGCCAGCACAAGAAAAGGGCTGAGCTTGTGTGGGGCAAACAACTTTATCTCATGGGTAGATCACACATCTGTTTCTTTCCTTCTTAGGTGATGCAACTACACTAATGACTTTTTAAGGTAGGAGTAAAGCAGTGCTATGAATTTTTGAGAAAAAAATGTCACACAGCAGGAAAACTACAGCAGACATCATCAAAGGAGCTCAGAATGAAATGCCCACCCACTCTTGTCAAATGATCTCCCAGGAGAAAAAGGATCATTCTAACTTAGGACACCTCAATAAACAAATAGAATCTCTGCCTTCGTTATTTTCTTCCAGGCAAAAGTGGCTTTAAAATCTGCTCTGCCTATTAATGCTAGTTATTTTTCATAGAAGACTTTGAAAAAACCATAAATATAAGGTGAGACCACCAGAGAATATGATTGCTTCCCAAAGTTCACTATGGTGAGAACTTCCGAATTCTGGCTATTGACGACCTGCTATACAGTCAGCAACTGGTCCAAATGTATTCAACTTCTCTTCCGCTAGTCTGTTTCTTCACCTATAAACTTGTTCAGAATTAGCTCACTGGCAGAGTCATTGAAAGAATTAAAAGATGCGAGTGTGGTGAGAAGTGCTCCTGGCATGTGGTCTGGATACCTGTGTAAAGATGGTAGGCCTGGTCCTGGAAACCATGTGTCTCATGTTTTTTGATGGTAAGGCATTACCTACACACATTCTTTTTGTTTTGTTTTGTTCTTTTGAGACAAGTTCTCCCTGTAGCCCCAGCTGAACTGGAACTTGCTATGTAAACTAGGTTGGCCTCAATCTTACAGAGATCAGCCTGCCTCTGCCCCCCAAGTGCTGAGATTAAAGGTATGTGCCACCACGTCCTGTTTTCCATGAATTCTTAACAAAGTCCAAATAGATATTTAAATCAGGAAATGATAAACATTTTCTGAACATTCATCATTCTACCCGCTGGGCTATGTTACTCTTTATGAAGGACTGTAAGAGGTAAAAGATGGTTTTGCTGTTTTTACTCAGGATCAGCTTAAAGTCAGCCCTGAAGATGAGCGACAACACTTTTAATCAAGACCTCCTGTCCAACAACCCCATGCTTTTGCTCTATGCACCCACAAAATTCATCTGAAATGAGATACAAATGCTATTTTGTGGTAGTCTCTCGAGCACTGCTCCCATCCTTGACCTCCTATAGCCAACTCACAGAGCCCCAGGGACCTCTATAGAATGTAAAATCCATCATACCGTATTCTCAGAACCTGCACCGGCTTCTGACTCCACACAAAATGAGATTCAAGGTCCTCATTCTCCCTGCAAATCCTTCCTGGCTGGGCCCCAGTTACCTTCCTGATCACCTCTCTTTATTATCCTCTTTCCCCACTGCCCCTCCAGCCACAGGAGCCTCCTTTGACACGACAAACATAGTTCTGCTTCAGAACCTGTGGGCTTGTACTTTCTCTCTCTGCAGTGTTCTTGTTTCATGTACCCATGTGGCTTGCATTTAGTTACTTATGCAAATATCACACAATCAGTCCTGGGTATGTACTCCCCTCTGTTCAAGAAATCCTCCTTAATCATTCTTTTTAGATAGTTACCGAACCCTGCTATTCTTTGTCTCCTTATGTTGATTTGCTTTTTGTTCATGGAGACTCCAAGATTCAACATGAGAAGGTTAATATAATGAAGTCCAGTCCCCACTGCTGCAAATGGTCCCCTTCATCCTAGGTTTCTCTCATCATCTGCCAACACCTCAGCTGATCCTTGCTATTGTCCAGCAACTGAAGTCACCCTGGGGGCACTGAGAACCTTATGCCTAGAGAACCTAGGTTGCTGTAGTCTCTTTGAACTGAGGTTGCTGTAGTTGTCCACTTATAATTCTTATTGGGCATTGGCGTTGCCACCAAAAGATGTCCCATTGAGTGCTGGGGAGATGGGTCATTTGGTAAAGTGCTTGCCTTATAAGCATGCTGACCTAGTTTAGATACCCAGAACCCATGTAAAGAGCCAGTATGGTTGCACATATATCATCGCAGCAATGGCAAGATGGGAGGCAGAGACAGGAGGATCCCTGAGGGTCACTGTCCAGCTAGTCTAGGCTATTTGGCAAAGTTCCAGGCCATTGAGAAACTCTGCCTCAACTAAAATGTGGAAGATGCCTGAGGAAGAACACCTGAGGTTGTCCTTTGACCTCTGACAAGTGGACACGCACACCCCCACATACATGTGCATCCACACAAACACCCATGTATGTATGCACAGAAATGCCCATTGAAGTCCTGGGTATGTACTTCCCTCTGTTCTGTTATCTCCACTTTTAGTCCCTACCCCAGTTCCTCAGACAAACCAAGGCAAATTGTCTTAATAAAGATTTTACGAGTAAGCCACTGAGAATAATGGGGAAAGAGATTCTATTAGTCACTTTCTTGTTGCTGGGATAAAACACCATGACCAATGCAAATTATAGAAGGAAGAGTTTGTTTGAGCTTACAGTTCCGGGGTAAGAGTCCAAATGGTGACCAGAGCAGAAAGCCAAGCAATCACATCTTCAAGCAGACACAGGAAGCAGAGAGTGGCTGGATATTGGACAAGGCTTAAGAAGTCTCAAAGTCCACCCCTGGTGATGTGCTTCCTCCAGCAAGGCTGCACCTTCTAAAACCATCCAGAGCAGCACCACCAGCTAGGGACAAATGTCCAAATACTTAGAGCCTATGGAGGACAGTCTCATTCAAACCATCACAGGGGCCAATTCTATTTCCATCTATTGACTTCTGGCCTCACATATCTTAGCTATTGAAGAGCAAGCACCGATGGTGCTGGGTACACACTGTGTGAGGAGGAAGGAGTTCTGCCAGGTGGGATATTTCCAAGCTGCCACTTTAGTTAGGCCACTCCATTGTTCTAC